TAAACATGAAGAGCGAATCGGACAAATGGAGGAAAGAATTAGCGCAACAGAAGACACACTTATGCGACACCAGAGGGCGCTGAGATACCTGATCCACCGAGACCTGGACCTCTCCGCTAAATGCGATGACTTGCAAAACAGATTGAGACGCAACAATATAAGGATTTTTCAGATCCCAGAGGGAAGTGAAGGACTTGATATGATCGGATTTATCAGTGAGCTGCTCCGAGGATCACTGAAACTTCCAACGGAGATGGATATTAAGATTGAGAGGGCGCATCGCTCACTTGGCCGCCACCTACAGACCCTGCGGCGCCTCCTAGATCGATAATAGTGAGATTCCTAGACGCAGGAATAAAAGACAAGATCATACAGCAAGCATGGAGCCAGAAGCAAGTCTTTTTTCAAGATAAGCAGATCTCTCTTGACCAAGACTATTCGCCTGACCTACAGAAGAAGAGAGCTAGCGTATACGAGGTTATCAAACAACTTAAAAGAAAAAAACGTGCAAGCAAAATGTCTGTACCCAGCAAAGCTGAGAATAAAACTGGACACTGGAGAGAAGACCTTTGCAACATTAACAGAGGCTGCGCAACAGTTGAAAGAGATTGGAGTCGAAATAGGTTGCGGAGAAAGACGGCACATCAAAGAAGAGCTGAAAGAAGGTTGGAGAAACAACAGGAGAAGGCAAAGGGAGGCGGCGTTCTCGATCTCGGACCTCATGCATGAGGATCTCAGGGTCCTCATGCAGGAAGGACATTAAATTAACTAAACGTCAGAGTGATTTGAAAGTGTGTGGAAAAGGGGGAGACAAAAAAGTAAGAAGTACACCACATACACTACCTGTTCTTACCAAAATATAGACGGGAATTCATTTTGGGTAGTAAAATGTCACTTATCTTAGAAAGTTATATTTTAGTCTGGGCGGAGGTCATGCTTAGGATTAATATGAGTGGACTACACTTACTAAGACCTCTTATACACAATAGTGTAATATTGGTTATTTGTGCATTAAGCACTTTTCCCACAGAGAAAGAGGGTCACACTTCTCTGCCCCGTACCAAATGGGGGTTGCCCACAATGTGGACGACTGGAAGGATGGAAGTCTTGTTCTTTTTTAGCTTTAAGTTTTCTTTCTCTCTGACATATGTTATAGACCTGAGTTCACATTTTCTCTTACAGACTAAGTATATATATACTCGGTACATACTGGAATACAAAGGGGAATATCCAATTATATAGAGAACGCGATATATGAACTTTGTTAGCTATAATGTAAAAGGAATCAATAACCCAATTAAGAGAAAAGAAATCTTAGGTCAACTAAAGAGATTGCAGTGCTCTGTAGCCCTGATTCAAGAAACTCACCTCTCTGAAATAGAATAACTAGCAATAACAAGACCCCAGTCCAAAATATCTAGAAGTCTCTCAGGCATGATGGCAGAACTGGGACTTGTAGATGTTTGGAGGCATCAACATCCTACGGATAAAGATTTCACATTCATGTCTCATGTGCATGGAAGCTACACAAGAATAGATTTTTTCCTGTATGTTAAAAAAAGAGCTATTCAGGGCAAAAGAGACAACAATTCAATCAATTACTATATCTGATCATAGCCCAGTTACTGTGAACATTGATATGGGAATGTTTGATTATTTTAAACACTGGAGACTAAACGTCTCATTGTTAAAAAACCCACAGGTCAAACAGGAAGTACAGTCTGCTCTATCTGAATACTTTGCTATAAATGATGATAGTAGTATCTCTCCCTCAATAGTATGGGATGCCAGTAAAGCCACGATAAGGGCAAAACTTATCTCTATTGGAGCCAGAATGAAGAAACAAAGGCTTGCAAAACAGGTAGAACTAGAAAATGAAAAAGAAGATTGGAGAAGGAACATAAACAACAAGGTAAAGATGACATATTTAAAAAGCTAAAATGCAAAACAACAATTAGATGAGATATAGATAGACTATTCACATATCTTTTGGGACTGTCCAATAATTCAAGGTTTCTGGTTAAGAATCAAAGAAGAAATAGAGCAAATCCTAGAAGTAAACACTGCACTAAACCCAACCATATTTGTCTTTGGAGTTATACTCAGGGAGAGGTACACCTTAGATGAAAAATATATTCTACGGATACTCTTACTGATAGCTAAGAAAATGATAACAGTGAATTGGAAACAAACAACCTCACCATCCACAGCACAATGGAAACAGACTGAAAAGAGTTCATACAATGGACCGAATGACAGCAAGCTTGCAACTGAAGGTGAAGATCTTCTACCAGGAACTGTGTGGCCAGATTTGGGTGAACGAACAAGAACTCTGGAACATTGTAATATTAAGCTATAAATCTCTACGACATGTTATTGTATTAATCTTGGTCTGGTTTTTTTCTTCTTTCCTGTCTTCAATGGTCTCATGTCAGAGAACGTTAACATGTTGTTTGTTTGTTTATTACCACAAAAATTACTAAATAAACAGTTCTAAAAAAAAGTGCTGTATAAGAACCAGTCCATTTAATTCTAAAACTAATTATTATTTTTACTTTTGATGCACAGTTTTCCAATAATACAGTTTTATGTGTATTGTTGAGGAAAGGGGGATAGAAAGAGATGAGCACACCTGTCATCACGTCCCAGAGAGGGTTACAGGTCTTAACATCTTAATACAAAGTTCGAGAACAGAGTTTATCTATTTGTGCTTTTGCTAATAGTAAGTCATCTTTATTCTTAATCAAAGACATAAAGTATGAGGCTGATACCTAACCTCCTGACCTTTTACTGTGATTTGGCCTGTGTCATCTGTACTGGGTTGGTTGTACCAGCGAGGAACAGGGCATACAGCCCAAATCTTGCCTGCTTTTAGTTCTTGGTCAGAATGATTAAGCAACGATTCAGAGAATGTCTGACAATCATGTAAGATTTAATTAAAAATAAATAACTGAGTATACTGTGATTGACACACAGAGATTTGAAGGAAACAAGTGAGAGAAAGTATTTCTATGTAACCAGATGTTATCTTAGAAGATGTGACGCCCAGAATGAAAGAGTGAGAAGGGACAAAGGATGAGCAGCTATGAAAGTTGTGCAGATAAGAGATGCTGCCTTTGTCGTCTGTGAGATGAGTGGTTCAGAAGGTTCACAGTTGGAAACTGCTGCAGAAAGAGGGATCAACCGCTGCCCAAACTGTGCACTTACAAAGTGGTTTTGTCATTTCTGGGTTTTTCTCTGCTCATGTTCGCCGTGTTAGATTAGAAATTTAAGAGGACTTGGATTCCCATTGTCTTCCTGTGGATTATAACTTTGACACTCTGTTCCTGGGGGATTGAAATCTCCGAGGGGTACTGCTTTCCTGTTGGACTATCGCTATCAACATGAAACAGATAAGTGCATCTTCAGGTCTGGATGTGCTCATTCTCTTCTCCAACCCGTCTCCTCGCTCCATTAGGGGCCTCCCACTTCCCTCTGCTGGGGTGGATGCAAAGCTGTCACAGAGATGCGTGGCTTCAGGTTTCAGCACTCCTGTTTGTTAGTGTGTTTCATTGCAGATGCATCATTTGGAGACCCAGCATGTCTGATGGCTTCCTGCTAGACGTTTGTCCCTCCACCACCCCCTTCCTGTCACGCGTCACTCTTTACCGGTCTCTCGCCAACCTAGCCTTCACCACCTTGTCCACTCTGCCATTATACCCACTCTGATGATAACATGAAAAATAAAATAAATACACAAAACGTAAAGATTAACAAGAGGAGGATACAGACAGTTGATAACGCTGCTCTTGTGTGCGTGTTTGGCACAACAAAGCATTCAGACCATTGTTCTGCTCCCCGACAGGAAATGTTATTAATCCAAACAACCTTATGTGAAAGTAAAGGTAAAACTCTTAATCCACATTAATATAAACAGCTGTTAGGTCAAAGCTGGAGTTTTCCAAGCCAGGATTGCATCGCCTTTGAATCGTCATTTTTCATTAGTTTCTCGGCCCTTTTAGCTCCTCGTCAGGCTGCCTAGTAAATTTGGCTGTTGCCTGATATGAAAAAGAATATGCCTTTTTCCAAAAAGGACAAAACCTAATTTAAACTCAGTTTCAGTGACCTTGTGGTAAAGTATTTTTAATGTATGTATATTTTAAATAGTTATATCCTAAAAAAAATAAATCTTGGAGACTTCCTGCGTACCACAGTTTGAGAATGACTGCCCTACAGAAACTGGCGAGCAGGGAGGCTGACCAGGAGATGAGCATGGAAGACCTGGTCCACTATGGCAGTGAAGTCGAGGTGAGTGACAGAGCAAACTCATGGCCCTGACTCCTTCAAAGCAACTGAAGACCAGGACAGAATGGAGACTGTGGAAAAGCAGAAGAGTTCTTGCTAAGAATATCCATAAGTGCCAGTCCTTATACCTGTGGTCCTGTGAATGCAGCTGGAGATCTTGAGCAGTCTCTTCAGTTCCTGCCTGTACTCCAACAGCTTTGAGTTTAAAGGCTCATGTTGTTCTGTCACTGTTTGGCTGTGTGGTAAGCTGGTGGTGTCAGTGTGCCGAGGCAGACTGTATGAATTGTGCAAAGTGGACCCACAATGCAGACACAAAGGAACATGGAACAAAACTTGAATATCAACGAAATGTGAGCCGTTTTATAAGGCTGATAAAAAGGGCACAAAAACAAGAGGCAGTTGCACACTGGGGAGAAACTAACTAGAACTAAACTGGGGAAACTGCACGCTAAACAAAAAAGACAAAGAACAAAACCTTGAATGTGATTTTTTTTAAAAAAAACCTGAACATGGAAAATCCAGGCAACATGGAGGCATGGAAACACGACGAGGAACAACAGACGACCCGACACTGAACAGAGGAGGAAGATAATGAGAGGATGGGGAACAGCTGGGACAATCAGACCTAACGAGACAAGGGGAAGCAAAACTAGACACACTGCACACCGGACAGAAACTTTCACAGTAAAACAGGAAACACCGTGGACCGCAGACATGAAAACATGAACTTGATATCATAAGACATGCAGACATGAAACACACAAAGGGGAGGGAAACTTGAACACGGGTAGAAAACACAAGGGGAATCTAAAGAACACTGAACTCTAACGGCAACTTAGGTTTAGTAGAAATGAACTTAAATATAGATCGAACACCTCAAAATAAGGTAAAACTGGGAAAACACAGCTGAACAGAGTCTATCGAGAAAAAGGAAGCAAAACTGAACATGTCAAAGGACCTTCAAAATAAAACAGGAAACATAACACAGGCAGAGACACAGACATGCAAACTAGACACAGACAAAAAGGTCAGCAACATGGGGACATGACTGAGCTGGCTCAACTAAACGGGGAGATCAGACAACCACAGCGAGCAAAGAGAGAGCAGAGCGATACAGGAGGCGTCACCAAAGGGAACCAACAAAACAAAGGCCAAGTACAAGACAGGACAACTAAAAGCACAAAGGAACAAATAATCAGACCACGAAAATAGACATAAATCCCTTCTTCAAACCAAAATAACTCCTCAACTCACAAAAAGCTCAAAACCCTGACGTATGTGTGTTGTGTATACTAAAAATGTGCTAAATATGATGTTAAATACTAAAAGGCTGTTATTTGTATTCATATAAGTGAAAAAACTGGAAAAATAAGGTGAGAAACAAAATACAGTAATTGTAAACAGAAAGGATATATTCAGTTAGTTCTTTTCAAAAATCATGTCGTCATTGTAAAGAAGGAATATTTGTTTTTTCACCTTTGCTGTTGTTATGAATTGTGACTTAAAGGTTTCACATTAACAAATGATCAGAAGATGGACAGTTTTATGGTTGATTTTGTCACGGTTCTGGGTCTGTTGGACCCAGTATTTTGAGTTTATTATATTTTGGTTTTATTCTGCTTCATGTATTGTTTGAGTTCCATGTATGTATTCCATGTTATTTTGTCTCTCAGTGTCGAGTCTGCGTTCTTGTTTATTAATTCATGTTTCCTGTTTTATTGTGAAAGTCTTTGTCTTATGTTAGTGTGTGCAGCTTGGTTCCCCCTGTCTCGTTAGCCCTGATCTCTCCCAGCTGTGTCTCCCTTCTGTTGCCCATTCCCTCATTACTACCCTGTGTATTTAAGCCCTGTGTTTCCCTGTGCTCAGTGTCACGTCGTACCCTCAGAATTATACCTGTGTGTTCAGTTCTCAGTGTCATTGTTCAGTTCATGTTTTCGTTTATCACCAGCAATAAAGGTTCTCAGTTTCAATTCAGTCTCAGAGTCTGCACACAGAGCCCTGACAGATTTAAATGCCAGGAAGAGGGGATTGAAATGATACTACAGACGGAGCTCGTTCCACAACCACTATCCTGCAGCTGTTTATTTATTTATTTATTTTTAACCAAGAACCTGAGGAGGAGCTCTCCAAGCATAAACTAATACATAGTCATTATTCACTTGTTATTCTTAATTGAATTAATGCTTTTTGTACATGTAAAGATTTTGAGCATTCGAGTATTAAAAGAAAGGAGAAAAGATTGTGTTGCATTTTATCGTTTCCTGTGAAAAAATCAATGATCAGTTTATTAAATCAGATATTAAAACAAGTCCCGAACAGTAAACAAATGACTTTTAAAAATCTGCGACAAACGCATTAGATATTATGATGAATACACAAATAAACACACAAAGATTTTTAAAAATGCAGAGATTCCAGAGATGCACCGAGAAACTTCCACACAAGCTTTCTGTCCTCCGCTGGTGCACGTGGCACAAAACTCCAGATCCAAGTAAACTGGGAAATACGGTTCTTATCTCACGGTGCATCCTGCAGCATCCTGTGAAGTTTTGGTTTTCGAGTGCGCTGCGTACGTGTTTCTTCTTCAGGTCTTTAGGTTTTCGCGCCCCTCAGCACTAGATGGAGATTGAAAGAAACTACAGGAAGATGTGCTCTGCTGGTTCAGTCATCATCAGAAGTTCCTTTTTCAGAACAAAAGGAGTGTCTTTAACATCTCTGTGTGCGACATGCTGTGAAGCGTCTATTTGAAACCAAATAATTCAAATATTTTTAAAAAAATAAACAATTTTTGCATTACACATACAAAAAAGTAATTTATTGATGTTTCTGCATGTGTAATACAAAAAGTAATGATTACACTTTGCTTGTTATTTTATTGAAATAATGCAGCCTTTTGAGCCACAGTGGTTACGCCCACTCTTCACTGTCCCACTGTCACACTGCACACGTTCCTGTCCACTGTCTCATAGAGTCAAATGTCTGGAAACATAATATGTCAGAATGGATGCAGTGAGTTGTATACGTGACAGAGATGGTTGTTAGAGTACTTTGATCTACTCTGTAAAGTGATGTGAAAATGCCCTGTGACATAATCACTGGTTAACATCAGGCTACAGCTGCACAGCAACACTTGACTGATGAGCGGCTCTTCCTCTCACAGTTTACGACACACGCAGAGTCCGACTGCTCGTCGCGGCTGCTGTTACCTGCTCGGCTGCGATCAGCACGCACTCGGCTTTAACAGCATTCTCGCTTCTTGACTAGATTTGTGTGTCTGTGCTGATGCTTTTGCACGATAATCGTACACTCCTCCAGAGCTGTGCTCCATCACGTTCCACCTCCGAGCACGTGACCTGACATCACCTGGTTGTAGCCAAAGGAAGAAATGTTTTGTTCTGTTTGTGTCAGCGTGCAGAACTGTGACGGTTCATGACTGACTTCAGTGCAGTAACACAGCACGGCTCTGCTGTGTTATTAAAAATGTGTTTATATTAGCACATATACAAATGTAGTTGTTGCAAACAACACAAGTTTTAGGATTATGACAGGATCACCAGGCAAAAACATCATGTCTCACATTTTTTTCAACTGAGACTGATTCTGAGGCCGCACAGTGTTTAAGACTGTGAGAGCATTTAGAAGAGAAAGCCCAGAGTGTGGTGGGATTTCTGTTGTGTAATAGTGTGGCAGTGACTCGACTTCCAGACGGGGAAATCCCAGAACTCTTGTGTGGGCGCCAGACGGGAAAACTCCACAGTGCAGCTTCTGGCACGTCTGAGTTTCTGCCTAAACTTTGTGCGACATCTCTTTCTTTCTGCCTCACATCTTTTTATTTCAGCACTGCTCAGCAACTTCTTGTATCTCAGGAATTTCTTTTATTTTTCTGACTCATCTCTATAGAATCTGCTTCATGTCGTCTGCTGTTGTGTAATTAAGAGTTAAAATAAGCTTGAACAGCTGCCCGTCAGCATCGTTTGTGCTAAACACTATTCAAAGTAAAACAGTACAAATATAAGTGACGTTGACCTTTCTCTCCTCAGCGAGCCGTTATATTCATCCCACATCTCGTTCCTATTTTCAAAGACTCATTTACCGCCTGTGGTTCTGATTTGCGGCTTTGAGCACACTGAATATGTCGGCTCCACTCTGCTCAGCAGACACAACCATCGGTTGATTGTCCCATAACTGAAAGATTACACACGAATAACCTCCACAATAACGAAACAACATACACATGGAACACGCGGGCTGTGGCCACACGTGCATGAATTTACAGAAAACAAAGAATTACTTCATAACAAATGAATGTGCTTCTTAAATGACCTGATTGAAGATTTACTCTATACGTGATCTGAAACATCAATATTATTATTCTGTGATATTAAAATAAAATCTGTAGTCACATAAACAAATCCTAGAAAAGAAAAAACTGAATAATGAGTGTCAGGTCACCGTCCTCCACACACAGCTGTCTTCATACAGACGCTCTGGTTTCTCGTCCTTTAATGTGAAGCATAATGCAGTCACTAATGTACGCGTCATATTTAGGCAAAGCTGTGGATGATCCATCGTAAGCAAAAGATGACCTGAAACATCCACAATCAATCGGTCCATGACTGGGAGAGTATAGATGTGACTGAAGCAACTGGGAAACATAACGACTCACCTGTAACTGCTAACGAAGCGTAAACACACTCTGATGTCTTCCATCTAACAAGACCTGATTTGTTAGTTCCTTACTAAAAAATTATTTTCAAAAATTCTGCAGAATCAACTCATTTAACAAAATCTGAGGACTTAGAATCACTGTGGTTACAAACCCATCAGTTATGTTGTTCAGACATTATGCTGATGCAGCCTTTTCTCTGACAAGCTTAATGGTTGGATATTATTCATATTATATAATATTAATATTTTCAAAGTCACTAAATGTAAACGTAATAAATCCTGTGACCATCCAAAACTGTGGGTTACTTCCAGCCGTGGTTCAGAACAAACTGTGTGTAAAACACCTCAGCAGGTACGTGTGCTCTGTAGGAGCTTTTACAGCGTAAACTGTGAAGTTTGAAGCTCTGTCGTGCAATACAGCAGCAGCACACTACAGAGTGGAACATGTTCTGAGCCCAAACAACCACACACACACACACACACACACACACACACACACACACACACACACACACACACACACACACACACGCATTAAAGTCTTCTATTTCCATACAAAACCAAACGTGTGTTCGTTTCAATAAATGAAAACGTGAAATGAAAGCTCCACAGAGGCAGAGCGATGCGTTCAGTGGGTCAGTGCTGCCTTACCTGTTTGAACTGCTCCTCATAGGTCCACTCGTGGTTCTGCGACGCGGCGTGCAACGATGGAGAGTCTGCGTGACCGTGGGGAGCGAAGACTCTGAGATGCTGAGACACGCACGCTTCCTGCAGAGAGGACTGGTTTAACCCAACATCGTCCCCGACCTCGTCTTGGTCCATGAGATCCTGCTCTTCCGTGTCATCTCCCTCCCCGTCCCGGTCTTTAACGCAGATACCGGGGTTGGAGTTCCCGTCTTCGGCGCATATACGGACTTCCATGTGAGGAGGGGTCACTCCTGGGGGTGAGCTTTCAGCTCCGGCGGAGAGGGCGCCTGGCATCGCCAGCTGATAGTGGCGGAAAGCCAGAGCTTGTTGGTGGATCTGGGACTCCACCATACAGCGGAGCTCCTTCTCTTTCTCCGCCTGCCGGAGCTTCTCCTCCAGGGCGAGGCGCGCTGCCTGCTGGCGCTGCAGGTTTTCCATGACAGCCTCGAGTTTCATGCCGCCGCTGCCGAGCTGGTGAGACTGTGCGCCGGGATACGGGCTGTGGGGTGTTTGGCGTGGAAGGCTGCTGCCAGAGGAGAAACAGCTTTGCTGCAAGGGAAAAGCGGTTGGTCGTAAATATTATCACATCAAATGCTTCCTTCAGTAAGCCACGTGGTCGGATATCAGATTGTCATAAAGAGCATAGCACGCGACACATGTTAGCCGCAGGTGAAAAGTTCTGTGAGCGCAGAAAACATGGACGGAACTGGATGTAAAGACAAAATAACATAAAGTCCGGACGCTTACCAACACAGACTTAGCAGTTACACGTGAGTTATCAACCATGTTGCCGAAACAGCCCAATCACGAGTCTTCTTTCAGGCGCAACACGAACATGCTCAGGAATAAATGCGTAAAGCGGCTCAGTCATAAATGCCGGAGCGCCCGCTTTCTTTAGGCAACAAGTGGCAAATGTAGTGAGAATGAAGCCTGGAGATCAGCGCGCCTGGTCCACCTGCAGCAGCAGCGCGTCAGTACTGAGAGCTGACCGCACGCTGTGATGCAACTACTGACACCTCTGCTCAAGTAACGCCAGTTTATTTATTTAAGCAGACATCCTGAAGTATGTTTACAAACTGGTTTGTGCAGTTTTATTGTTTTGTATTTTTTGTAAAGCTGAACTTCAACATGACAAAAAACGACTCAAACATACAGTCACGTGTACATCCAGTAAAGGCATTTAAAGCCCAGATGTGTCAGTTTTACTGGGATCATAATAAGCCTATAATTTCCATATGATTAAGAGACAATAATATTGTTTTGATATTTTACAACAGATATTCATGTTTGAATATGTATTTCTGTGACGTGTTTTCCGCTCTCACCTGTGAAACTGAGCCTTAAATTTACTTCGTCACATGAATCCAATAAAAAGTCACGTGAAATAAAATCTCATGTTTCCATAAACCTTTTTGTCCAGTTCTGAATTCAGAATTATTAATATTTATGTTGTACCAACGGGGCATTTTTTTGTTTGTTTGTTTTTGCTTTAAACAAACAAACAAACAAACAAACAAACAAACAAACAAACAAACAAACAAACAAAATAAAGTACAAAAAAAAGATGTTGAGTTTCTGGATATTTCTTTTTGTATTTAAAAATTAAGGTGATTGAAAAATAATGAAATTTAAATAATGCTTTTTCAGTTATTTTTACAGTTACATTAAAGTTATGTTTTCGTTAAGCCCTCTGTTTAATTGCATTTACCCAGATGCACTGAACCTTCAGCGCACCGCAGAGACAGACACTACAGTGCAACACAAGCTTCCTCTTAACATGTTACTGTGTATGAACGAGTGCTTTTGCACACTCATACAGAAACACGGAGCTACAGCTTTAAAATAAAAATCCACCGTGTTGTGATTCACTGAGTCCTCCACTCAGTTTAAAGAGTTTGTCTGTAATTTATATTTTTACTGTTAGACGTTGACTGTTACACTCATTTTATGATTGGAATCATTAATCCTGTGGGATATTGCAAATATCCAATAAAGACAACCATCAACCTGAGAAAGGTGCTGTTAACGTCACAGTTACAGGATTTTCAGTTTTCTATTTAGAATCACTTATTTTTCTTAGTCATTTATTTAAATGTATCTTTTTCTCTTCACTTTACTTTGAGTTCAGAAAAACCAAAACAGTAGTAAGATTTTACAAGTCCATATAAGGTAAAGCTGTCACTGTATTAACTCTAAAATAATATATTGACACATTTCTCTAACAGAAAAAAGATGCAGACTTTTTCTCTTGATTTAATGCACATTTCTAATCATAGTGATAAATTAACTCTATTTGAGTAAAATCCCACTGATTTTTAACACTGAATTGAGTTATTTGAAATTAACACTGGAGGTTCAAAAACTCTGATGGGAGTTGATGTTACTCTATACTGTGTTATTCATACACTCATCTCTAGTGAAAATTAGCTCTAAAATTTGTAATTAATTTTACACAAAGTAGTGTTACTAAAACTCTTCCTGTAGTTTTACCTTTACAGTCAATTCACTGTTTTGCAGCATGAAAACCTGGTTTTTAATAATGCTTTTACATATAAAACAAGTGAGCAAAAATCACAACTAGATAATACATTTAACAGCTTTATTTTTATGTCAGATTCAAAATATAAAAACATCTCATGTAGTGTATAAAACACTTTAAAACAATGAATTTAGTTCGGCATAAAACAGCAATACAGAACGACATACAGGGAGGAATCTGAAACGCCATACTTGATTTGAAGAAGCAACACAGCTCATTTATGTTCAACACCTTCAGCACCATGCTGGGATGCAGTCTGACCCTAAATGCATGATAATGGTCATCAACAGGGTTTCCATCAGTTTTCCGCAGAGCAACACAATGTCATCTTTCACAACAATACTTTTGATCTTACAAAAAACGGAATCTCAGACTACATCTGTACAGATGGTAAAGTCAGGGCGGTACTCTGTACCGTGTGTTATTATCCACTTAGCTGAAAACAAACTGGTAGACAGCACAGCTCCAAGCAGTTTCTGGACCTTCTTCCAGTGTCACCATCTTTCTTGGTCCTAAAGCTAATCTTTCCAGGCTAAAGGACTCTAAATGCTTTATTTTATTACTATTATATTTATTTTTACTTGTGGTGTCCTGTGAAGGTACGCTCTGTAAGGCTGCATCTTTAGCCTGAGTATGAATCTCAAAAAACACTTCCTCCATTGAGAAGACAAAACTATTCACAGTAGCTGTGCAACAGCAGAGGCACACATATCCAAAGACTCTTATTTGACCTTTTCAGATGTTGTGGGTGTTTCTTCTACATTACTTGACATCACCTCCCCTGTAGTGCAAACTTCTTTAACTGCCACATCATGCTGTAGATTAACATCAGTGTCAGCCTGTTGGTCAAAATAGTTAAGGTGTTTGGTATTTAAATGTTTTCTAAAACCTGTGGTTTGGATGAACGTGTACATGTTGTGAAGCATGGTGCTGTACAATGTGCCAAACACAAAATGTGCTTTAAACAGTTCATCAAAAGCACCAAGTGAAGAGGTAGACTTGCATGGCATTCTTGTCAAGAATAATGAAGAACCGGTGGATGTCATTCTTCTTCACCCCAACAGCCAGCAGGTAGGGTTGAGTGCTGGTAGTGACGGCATCAAGGTGCTCTTGGATACTTGTTCCAGTCTGAAAAGACAAATACAGACGGGCAATAAGAATCAAGTGTTTCTTAAACTGGTAATTCATACCATGAAAATAGAAAAACACAAAGCTTCTTGAAGAGCACAAGACGCCTTTCTGCTTGAGAAGCTGACACCTTTCCTGGTCTCTAGCGGCCCTGACCAGATGGTGGAATCAGATGTAATAGCAATGCTGAGAGGTCAAAAATATTTGTTTTTAATAAAGTTGAATCATCATCAACAACACATTTCAATGCATTGATAAACTGTTTGAGTAGACCCAAAATACAAAAGAACAGCTGTTCTGTGACAAACATTATATATGCTGTGAATGTGCTAATCAACAACAGCTCACCAATGTCAGCATTAACTTCAGCGGCATCCTCAGGAGAGTCAGCAACAGTTCTTCCAGGTCAGTGGTAGAAGGAAGCTTCCTGCCTTGTTGGATAATCTTTCTTTTGAATGTTGTTGGCCACCTCTCCAGCAACCTGCCTGATACATCCTCACCAAACATCAGTACAAAATCCTGTTCGATCTGTAACAGGGATAGAGAACAGAGAATCATATCTGCTTTCTATAAAATATTAAAGTGTGTTTACATTGTCAAAGTAATGACAAATATTCACCAAGCCTTCGATATCTTTGAAACGTGGAGAAACAGACAGTATGTTGCTTGACAGCAGGAGGTCAAGGACCATGTTGTGACTGTGTCTTCATCAGCTGAATGTTCCATCAGAGCGATTGCCTCCTTACACTCATCCTCACTCAGCATCTTCTCTGTAACAAACTGCAACTCTCGTCTGACAGTCGGTCCACCACACTGGTCTTCACTCGATGCTCCATCTCCTGGTGCTACACAATATGAAACACAGCTTTATCAAAACTAATAACAACATTTAATAACCATTAATAATAAAGAACCACAGTTTGGAACTGTATTATGTATTTCCACTGAATTATAAATGTTACCTCCAGATGATAATCGCCTCCCTTTAGCAGTGCATCTCTGTATGGCTTTAATCCTCCAGGCCAAGTACCC